AGACCCGAAGAAGGTGCTCTGCTCCGCCGACCCACAGCTGCATCAGTAAAAGACGTGCTCACTGTAGGATCGAATCCTCTTCCGCCAAGGCCTCCCCAGAAGGATCCTTCTCCTCTTCCTACAGGAGGATCGTGTGCCAGCGCTCAGAGGACCTCGGAGGCAGTCCCCATTCAGAAGATCCTCGTGACGGCCAAGAACATCGACGTGACGAGCGGGAACGTGAGCGACGCGGTGAATAGCATGGCCCTTCGAGACAACGGAGGCGGCGGCGAGGAGGTTCCTGCGGGGGCTGGAAAGGCCACGGCAGGAGGAGGACCTTTTGAGACATCTCCCGTGGAAGCCAACATCGCTAGGGGCGCGCGGTCTCGAGGGAGCCAGTGTCTCGACGAGCAACAAGGAAAGGCTCAGAGCAACGCAGATTCGTCTTTGCCAAATCCCAACAGGCAGGCGCATGCGACTAGCACGTCTGACGGCGTTTCCTCGAGTAAAGAGAACATGACACGTGTGAATAATCCTCACCCGGTGACAAAACAGACAGCAGAAACGCATTCTTCCGCGCCAGAAAATCCAGTGCAACCCGTTTTAGCCAAAGACAGCACAGCAGAGAGTACCACAGCGATCCTAAACAGAATGCCATTTGAGAGACAAAACAGTTCAAAGCATGAGAAAAAGGCTGCGGACTCCTTTGTTTTGTTAGATACGAGAGACTTCACGCAACCTTCTCTCACTTACATTGACGAGTGCAGTGTTATAAATGAAAACGGCTTAGAAACCAAATTCCAGGGAGAACTTTCGGAAAATATGAGCATCTATGAAAACCCGACAAATGCCGTGCAGCAACCTGCGGTGACGAACAAAAATGCTCCCAAATACGAAGCTATGCAAAAAAGAAATGGCCATTCAGGGGCCAGTGTGGAAGACATTACCGAAAACCAAGGAAGCCACGTTTATCCGGGAAAGTCCACTCCTTCGGAAAGAGCGTCCCTCTTGCCGAAGATAACGAGAGGAAAGTCCGTAGAAATCTTTTCCTCGGCAGAGAACAACAGAACCACCGGAGACGCAACGAAGAGGAGAATCTCGGTGGCTAATTGTGTGAGCGAAGCGAAGATAACTCTCACGAACAATGGTGAATGTCGTGAAAATGGGTCAAAGGGCAGAGACGGCGCCGCGAGTGGAGGCTCGGTCACCAAAGCGTCCCATGTGCTAGCCAGCGACATTATCCTCAGGAAGAAAAATCAAGTCTTTGTGTAATGGCTGACGACATTCACTAAGAAGAGTAAATATATATATATATATTTTTAAATGACAATAGATAATAGACTCACAGGTGTCCTGTACAGGTTTGGAAAGCACCAGGAACTTCGGCATTCCCCCCCAAAGAAGGGAAAAATGGAAAAGAGAAAAAAAAACTGTAAACGAAAAAAATATATATTCTCTTAATTGCAAATCAAATAGCTTTAAACCCTCGAATTTCTTATGGTAGATAAACAACAACATACTAACGATGGAGAGGCCGGAGGTTTCCTCAAGCCGAGTAGGCATATTTTACAGTGTTTCAGCAAGACGTAATAATCCATACATACACATACAAACAAACAAATAGATGCACACAAACGCGCGCGCGAGGGTCTAAATTGTTTTAGGCTGAATATCAACAAAAATACGGTTGGTTTTCGAGACTCCATCTGTTGGAGGACTGAAAAGTTGGTGATGCAGATCTGGAGCAACATGGCTTCCTGTAACTTTCCTTGTTGTTATACATATCAGTTCTGGGAATGGCCCGATTGGTGTTTGTTGGAGGAAGTATTAGCCTTTGGCACAGTGACTAGAAACCACGCGGCAGGACTTTCGAACAAATGAATAAAGACAGTATGCAAACCTTGGACCTTTTTCTATTAGTAGCAACTTTCATGTTCGCATTATGTACATAGCCTGAGTGTCCAAAAATAAATGTGATATTATAATTCAGTATAGCTGTGTGCAAGTTTGCTAGATGATTGTGATTTGTGGTTTTAAGCTACAAACTTGCAGTTCAGAAACACTGGAAAAAAGGAATTTTACTTTTAGGAATACTGAAATGGTGACACTGTCTTCCTTACAATATATATATATATGTATATATATATAGATATATAGATATATATGATATATATACATATATATGATTTATGTGTGTATATATATACATACATATACATATATGTATGCATATATATATTATATATATATATATATATATATATATATATATATATATATATATATATATAGTTATGTTATGTGTACTTGTATGTGTATTTTGTTCATTTTTATTAACCTGTTTTAGTGTTTTCATAAACAAAAATGTGATACCCAACTCGATACCATGCTAATCAAGATTATTTATTGGATTGTACTCCATGATTGATATTGATTTTGTTATTCTCTTTATCATGTCATATCAAGAAGGTCACATTAGACTTAGAAATGACACTTGGATGACTTAGTTGATAAGATAAGT